CAGGCCCGGAGCTCCGTCACGCCTGCTCCTATTGATCCTATTTGCCGCTAAGTTAAGATATCCGCGCTGTAAAGGGGGGGCTAAGTGGCAGCTGTGACCAGGCTCCCCCCCTTCAGCAGACCCCCGGATGCTGCCCGGCCTCTCTCTCAGCTCTTAACCTGGCCATCGATCTGGGTTTAGCTCCTCGGATAACCAAGGGGGGCTCTAAAAGAGGACAGATCTCCTCTTTATTTCTTTAAATACTTAATTGACCCGGTCTTCCCTCCTTCCTTTTCTCCGTCCGGTCGTCCTTTCTTGTCCCCGGAGAAATCTACAGAGCACGGAGGGCAAACGGGTTTCCCTCCCAGCTGCTAACCCTAACCGGCAGATAAACCCAGACCAGGAAGCCGCAGGCCGGCGGGAGCCAGAGAGCACGAACGCATCCAATCCACCAGCTAAGACGCTTAGAGCCAACTAGTCGTGTTACGTCACCCCCCCAAAGAGCACTGGCACGACTGGAACTCATATGTAATCATATGAAAGCATTAGCATAATCCACAAAGGTATATCGTGTTGCATCTCCTCCCTGATAGCTTTAGAACCCCAAAACCACTTAACCCTGGCTCAGGGCGCTGTTTACCAACGGGCAACACCGAGCGCTAAACCCTGACCGTCCGGAGGCAGAATAATGACCGGCAGCTTCAAACTGGAGCTGCACCTCGCAGCAGCACCTCGATTCCTGATTCTTTTGCATTCTTTTCGCAATTTTCGCATCATAATGTTTCTCGAACAGCTGCTAATTTGAGGATTTCCCTCCTAGTCTAAAACCTGCTAAGAGCCAGATGACCTCGGTAAAACCTTAGATTTAAAATCGGATGTTCTTTCTATTTGTCACATGACTGATTCGATGGACTTTCTATCATATCCATCACAATATATATATATTTATAAAGTCACATATAAACCATTTGTCAAGTTTAATCCAGTTTCCTAAATCTCTCCTCTCTCAATTTTTTTTCTTTGTGCTTTGAATCTCTAACCTTTTACTGTTTCTGTCAACTACTACTTGAGAGATGAATTAAAGATAGGCATTTACAACTTATGATTCAACTGCTGAAATACAATCCGGTTATAGTGAAATAATTGAATAAGTCCAGCTGCATTTCTCTGTGACAAAGTGGCTCGTTTGAGTTTTTCCAGCAGAACTTTTGTAGAAACCTGCTGTCGTGTCTTCAGCCCAGAAGTCATCTGGATAACAGCAGCTTCTCCGGTCTCCTCATCCATCCGTATTTCAGAGTGATTTAGTGGTAATTGGCTGTTTCCGATGGCAGTTCACAACAGAAGTCACCTCAGGGTATATGACAGCACGGCTGGAGAGATTAGTCATTTCTGAATGTGGTCGGTGTTTCGTCTACTGGAGAAAAAAGGAAAAACCCTCAACAGGAGTCAGGAAGTCTGATCTTTCACGCAAAAACGGAAGCCGACAGGACACTTTGGGTTGTTACCGAACTAAAGCAGAAAGCTGTATTCCTTTTTTTATGCGTTAAACATTCCTTTTTTTCTTTTTTTTTTGCTACACAGATAGAGAAAAGCACACATTATCTTGTTACAGTCCCGTGAATCAGAAAAACATTGTGTTTGCACTTATCAGCAGCTACCCAGTTTATTTGTAACAAATAACCATAAAAACAAGGCAAAAAAACATTAAATAAAATCGATTTTTAAATGCAGTCCAGCAACAATGTAGATAACCAGCCAGATCTACAACATATATCATAGATCATAAAACAAAACAAAAACACCCTAGAAAGTCTACCTATTATACCAGTTCTCTTCCTCTATTTAATAAAATATAAGTACAAGGACACATCCTTACATGTCCAGCCAGGAACCTCATCGAATAAGTCCTCCCTCCCAGGGTCACCCTGTAGGTGACCCGGGATGCGTCAGTCATTCTAATGCGAAGGTTTTTAAAAAAAGTGAACACCTGTGTCCCTCCCTCAGGATGAAGTGGAGGAGCTGCGGGCGGAGATGGAAGAGGTGCGGGACAGCTACCTGGAGGAGGAGGTGTACCAGCTGCAGGAGCTGCGGCGGGAGCTGGACCGCTCCAACAAGAGCTGCCGCATCCTGCAGTACCGGCTGCGCAAGGCCGAGCAGAAGAGCCTGCGGGTGGCCCAGACCGGACACGTGGACGGCGAGCTGCTGCGCGGCCTGGAGCAGGACCTGAAGGTCCGAGCCAAAGAAACCTGGCTCCCCTTGTCTTCCTTGTTCGTGGCCAAAGTCCCAAAGCTTCACAAATGACCCCAACCCCCCCCCTCCTTCCCATCCCCAGGTGGCCAAAGACGTGTCGGTGCGCCTGCACAACGAGCTGGAGAGCGTGGAGGACAAACGCAGCCGGGCGGAGGACGAGAACGAGGCGCTGAGGCAGAGGATCATCGAGGTGGAGACCTCCAAACAGGCCCTGCACAACGAGCTGGAGAGAACCAAAGAGGTGAGGCCTGGGGGGGAGGGGCTTCGTTTGGCTAAAACTCTGGGAGCGAGGCGGGAAAAGGCGTGCGTGAGGGTGAGAACGGTGTGGCGCGGGCCGGAGGAACGTGTGAGAATGAGGACCGTGTGAACAGAAAAGCTGTCAGAACAACTTAGAAAGCCACTAAATTATCACAACTGTGAGGTGAACCTGTGAATTTCCAGTCACCGGGTGTGGAAATAGACAGATGCCGGCTCCTAAACGCAGAATCAGCGGGAATCGTCTGGTGTTTGGTGATGCGTGTCCTGCCCAGGCGCCTTTTTGGGGGTTGATGCCTAAATCAGGGTTTATGCCTATTTCTTATTGGTTGAATTTGGAGCGTTAAAGATGTTCTGTTAGACCTGAACCCCCCCTCCCCTCCCTCCATAGCTCAGGTGTGTTTATTAGCTCTGTCGGGTCCCATGAGTGCGTCTCCAAAGAGGTTTGACATCTTTTTTTTTTTCTAGCCGGCGTTGTTTTCCATCCACTGTCATAAACAGGGCCGCAACAGGACGGCATCCAGGGCTCCCCAGCTATTTTCTAGACTTATGCACCCTTATACTTTTAGAGACCCTGAGAGGTCTGCTTATTTATTTATTTTTTTCTGAATTGGTAAAAATCAGCTTATTTTCCTCTTGTGCGTTTTTTCTTTTCCGTCTAATTACAGTGCAGCTTATGTGAGATCAGTCACTGCTTTTTCCTTTGAGTTCTTGCTGATAAAAGCACAAAAAGAGGTTTCATGGTGCTGGAGATGTAGCTGAAGGCGGCTCCAGAGACCTGCCCCCCCCCCCCCACCTTGAGCACTCTGTGGTTTCACAGTTGTTTCAAACAGCTTAGTCTGCTTCTAAGGAAATATTGAATCTTCGTTTGTTCATTTGGTCTTCTGAATGAGATTAAGATCAGATATCTGGCACTTTATCAGTTAAAAAGGATCTTGTCAAAATTAGGCGAGAAACCAAAAGTTATCGAAACCCTGCAAATTCCGGCCTTTATTTCGCAACATGAATGTCTCTGGTCCAGTTACGAGCCTTCAGATTAGTTCATTAGTCTGGTTCTGTTTTCCGTCTTCAGTAAGCAGCATTTTACTTTTGGCCAAGTTCGCACAAAAAACAGCAAAATGTTTAACTTCTGCTTTCAGCTTTGCTGCTAAAGGTGTTTGAGCTAGTCATAAAGGCAGCTAACAAAAAAAGACAAACAACAAATCCAGCCGGACTGCTGGTTTGTGTCTGTCATTGGTATAATTCTTACTTATTTAGGTCATGTGTTGTCAGTGACCTGTTGTGTTAACTTGCTTAGCGGACGGAGTATTTGCTCTGAGGGAAGCGAGGGAAGTCTGGTTTGTAGGAAGAGGAGCGGAGGTTTTTCTCCCTCCTGCTCAGGCTAATCGATGCGGACAGCAGCAGGTAACCGGCCGTCTGCCAGCCCGGGGAAACTGGGCTAATCCCGGCCTGACGGCTTTCTTTGGGCCGCTGGATGACACCGTTTCTTCTTTCGCCGTCCTTCCTCGACCCCAGCTCCGATGCGGGGCGCTTAACTTTTGCCTCCGGCCCTCGGAAAGGTCCGCCGCCGGCTTTTCAGATCTATACCGTGTGTGACCTTCTGCTGGTCTGACTCCGAACGCCGGCGTTTTCAAAGACGACCTGCCTGCAACCCGGCCGTCAGAGACAGAAAATCCATGGCGGCCATCGATGTGGCTGCTCCACCGGCGCGGACTCCAGACTTTTTGTGTTTTTTGCGTCGCTGGTAACCTCCTGGAGGCATGACGAATCTCCCACAGGAGAGGGGGGTGTTCTCTCCCAGGGTGGCGGCGGACTTTTAAGGTGGCGTCAGGCTCTGTCGCAACTGCTGAGGGCAGTTTTTGGGGCAGCATGGGCGGCCTTTTAGGGCGGCTTTTGGATAGGTTTTTGGGGCGGCTTTTGGGGCGGCCCAGTGGGGGTGACACCATGACAGACATTTTCCTTCACACACCGAGAGCAACAGGAGACTGCGGCTTCTGTGAATGTATGCTGATTCTTTTTTAAGTTCCCCAGAGGTTTGGCCCAGATAAACACACTCTGGCTCTTTTAGCAGCCCCCCTCCACCAAGCACACACCAACACGAATACACAATTTGTTTTTCCTGGATTTCTGACGACAGCCTCTGTGTCGTCAGACGTCCTCAGTTGCAGCTGAGTCGATAATGATTTTTTTAGGCTGTATTAATAACTTAAGCTATGACGCTGCCGTCTGAGTTTCTGTCACAGGCAGAATGTTGTTAGACAGGACTGAGAGGTTGTTACTTTCCCTCTCTGGTTGAATCACTCCCCACTGATGGAATCTCATCACTGCCGATCTGTGTCATGGATTTATCTTCTGCAATAATGTTTTACAGCTTTTTTTTCCTCCCCTTATGCGGAGTGCTCATATTTTGAGAAGAAAGAGGCTCTTCAGTTCTTAGTGAAACTCTTCAGTTTGTAAAGACACCAAATAGAAAAAGCACGGCTGGATTAGTAACGATTGTCAGGAATGAGCTCCAGACATTACAGTAAATTAAGAATGAAACTCTCCATCCTAAATCAATGCTCAGGTTTCTTGTATTCATCCATCCAAAATGAAAAATAAGGACATTTCATTCAACAAAGGGCCCCCGGAGTATTTGTGTAACGAGCAATATTCATGACAAAGAAGGCTCCGTGTATCTGAAAAACCTCCTTTCTTTTGAGAACAGGAAATATTTGAGGTGCACATCGCACTGCTTACAAACCTCAGATGCACGTGCTGTCGTACGGTGGGTTTTTGAAGGCGAGCGGCAGCCGTCTGTGAGACTTTTTCCCTCCTCTGACATTTGAAGAACAGCCCACTGATATGTGTAATGAAACGGAACTAATGAAATGCCTGCTCGCAGAACAGGAGCATCAGGTGATTTATTACGAGTTCCCAGTCCCCTGTGAGGAATCCATCCCTCATTCAGGCCAAACTGTAATCCTCTGTGCTGCACCTTTCCCTCCCAGTCATTACCAGCTATGGCTTCCTCATTCAGGAGACTGGAACCGGTAACACGAGAGCTCCACCCGCACACTTTCTTTTTCTGCTTTAAAGTGAGCGTGCACGACACCACATCCAGCTTAGGCGTTAGTCAGCATGTAGTCCTCACTGTTACCTCTTGTGGCGCGTGGCCACGTGAGCAGTAACACAGGAGGCATTTGGTCTGTTAATGAGGATCCACTGAACTCATTCGTTATTCCCAGAAACCTGCAGTGTTGCAGAAGCTGAAGGGCCACTGCTGTTGTGCTCTTAAATAGAAGTGAGTCTGGATGCTTGGGATGGTTTTAGTTATCGTTGTAAATTGGGTTTCTTTCTTCCATTCGTTCTCAGGTGAAAATACTTTGGCCTTTGGCTCCAAAATTGTCCAGAAGGAATGAAATTAAACCCCACAAGCGTGATGTTTGTCATTATCTTCAACACAAATGAGTTTAAATTAATATAAACACCGTAGTCGGGCCAGTTAGTTGTATTTTTATCTCCTTTGTTTGCTTCCTTATGTAAGAAGTGCAATGCATCCAGATAAGAAACCTTGACCGACTTTTCCTACTTTGTGGCAAAAACACTTTGTCTGGTGACATTACACCTTTCCGCCTTATTTATTTAAGCTTGTGTTTCCATTCTTAGAGCTTCGTGTTACTTATCCTCTGTCCTCTAGGCAAAAAAACAAACAATATTTTCCCTCCTGATGTTTTAGAAATCGGATAATTTGCTAAATGTAATTTGGTCATTTCGGAGCTTTAAGCTGCCAAAAGGGTTCTTATTATCATCAGTTGTTGGCAGAAATAGCCAACCAGTGATCCCAGGCTTCAGGCTCATGCTGCAGACACAGCTGATGTTCAAGGCTGGCTAAATTAACCGGAAAATAGGTGATACGTTTTGTTTGCAGGAGCAAAAGTTAGTCATTGCCCATCCATTACTGTGAGTCATAAGTTGGCAAAGCATCGCTTTTTTTGCTTTTTTTCTGTCGGGCGGCGTCAACTTGCGCTATAACTGGAATCCTGACCCATTTTTAGGAAAAAGAACATAATTTATACTGTTTAGATGTTCACCGCCTCAAATTTGAAGGAAGTTAAGAAAGTAGATAATGAAAAAAATGTGAAAGGACTCTTATCAGACTGCACTTTTTTCCAGGCTGTTTCCAGCTCTCGAATACATCGTGACACTTTGCATTCAACAGCTGTCCTCATTTTCTGTGCGATCACCTCAGTGGTTTTTCTGCGTCGTGAATATTTACGCGCTCAAACAAAAGCGGGACGATGTTTTTCCACCGAGCCCGCCGACGCCGTCCTCTGCCTGTCTGCTTCAAAGGTTCCACCAGGAGATACCCGCCCTCCTAATAAGTCACGATGCTGGAGCGAGAGTGGGCGCAGACTTCATTTGGAGCGTCAGCTTCGTGCTCCCCTCATCCTCCTTCCTCTTTCCTCTTCCTTTTTTGTTCCCGTCCCCACTTCTCACCGCGTCTTCTCCTCCGTCGTGGTTCCCCTCCGGAGGAGTGTAAATGCATCTCATTGACCCACTTAATATCTGGTGTCTGACTCCACCAATGGGAAGCAGAGCGGGCGTGAGGAGAGGAGCAGCGCAGGGACTCTGCTGAGAGTCCAAATCTGCTGCAGTGACACACATCCATAGGCAGCGGATCATCCCGCAGCCGCCCGCGCTGCGGCTCTCTTCACGTGCCGGAATTCATCTCTTTATGCCACAGTGCGGAAAACATGGCGCACACCTGTGTCGTCGAACTGTTTTCAACACATTTTGTACCCAAAAAACGCACATATTTGGGCCATGAATCATACTCTTTTTTGGGAAGTTGTTAACTTAATGATAAATGTGTGCATCTTTTTTTTGGGACACACGACTGCATATGCTAAGCATTTTAGAGGCAACAGTATCATTCCTCTTCTGGCAAATGATCGCCAACACAAAGGAAATGGGGCAAATCTTCACCACTGCATAAAACCCCCCCGAGGAGACGCGTTACAATTCCGATGCCTTTGAAGTTTCAAACCCATGAAAAATGGAATCTCTTCTCCACACTTTTCCTGACGCATGCAGACATGTTTTTGAAGGGATTTGGTTGGTTGGAATATC